ATATATATATATTTCAGAGAGGAAGGGAAAAGGAGAGAGAGAAACATCAATGATGAGAGAGGATCATCGATCGATTGCCTCCTGCATGCCTCCTACTGGGGATCAAGCCCGAAACCCAGGCATGTGCCCTTGACCAGAATCGAACCCAGGACCCGTCAGTCCGCAGGCCGACGCTCTATCCACTGAGCCAAACCAGCCAGGGCAAAATCATTCTTTCCAAGGTGCCAGGGTCTTCCTCACTCTCCGACATCTACGTGTGTAATCCTTTGACCTTCTGTTCCTTATGTCTCCTTGCAGCCATATGTGTCGTTGTCTCAGCAGATGGCACCACCTAGTCCCAGCAACAGCACGCCTAACAGCAGCAGTGGGAGCAATGGAAATGACCAGCTGAGCAAAACCAACCTCTACATCCGGGGTTTGCAGCCGGGCACTACTGACCAGGACCTTGTCAAGTTGTGTCAGTCGTAAGTTGGGGTATGTGTGGGTAGGCTTCCAGGGACAGAATGGATTGGGTGATACTGGCTTGTTGCCAGATACTCTTATCCTGAAATACAATATTATTTTGCTTCTACTCCATAGTCATAAGGTTTCTCAGCAGCCCCTCTTAAAGAAATTCTGCCTGCTGCTAATACATAAAACCTTTTGTTTCTCTGAGGAAAGCCAGGGTAAGGCTGGCCTTTAAAGCCTAGTGTATGACTTTGTTTCTAGCAAGTATCTAGAATTAATGGTCTTCGTGGAAAGATTCCTATCCTTACACCTTGAATAGAAATATTCAGTATCTCCAAAGGTATTGATTAGAAGTCAGTGAGGGATATAAGCAAGTAGGACTAGTCAATTGAATTATATACTTAGAAGAGTTTCTGCTGCTAGAGATGTACCCAGTGAACCAGAGAAGCCCTCAGATTAGCAGGTAAAGAAGAAGGTGGAGGAAGAGGCGGTTACTCTGCATCTTCCCTCTAAAGACATTTGGGGTTCTTCGGAGTAGACTTGAGTCAGAAGGTGGAGGTAACGATTACGGAATTAGCCTAGTTAAGAATTCTGGAAAAACTGCAAGTGTGTCAAAATGCCAGTTCATTTCCTTTAGGCAGGAAAAGTATATGTTTCAAATAATCTAGAGGAAAAGTCGGAGGATGGAATGGGAACATTACTGGGGAGAAGGAAAACTGAATTTTGGTAAGTGGATGGTCGAAGGAGAAAAATTGGAACCGTCGATTATGTAAATTTACCATTTTTAAAAACTTTGTTTTGAAGTATAACAAGTGCACGGAAAAATGCACAAATCGTAAGCGTATTTACAACAGTGAGTTTTTACAAGGTGAACACACCCTTATTGTTACCAGATCAAGAAACAGAACACCGCCACCTCTTCAGAAGCCCGCCTCTCAGTTACTATCTCTTTCCCATCCCAAAGGTTGTCCACTTCCATATGAACAGTGCTGCTCTGAGCTTGTACATGTCTTTTGGTCACGTGTGTACACATTTATGTTGTGTCTATCCCGACGAGTAAAATTGCTGACTCGGAGGATGTGCATTTGTTCAGCTTCTGTTGATATTGCTGGACAATGTTCTGAAGTGGTCACAGTAATTCGGGCTCCCACAACTATGCATGTAAGTTCCAGGGCTCCGCGTCCTAGAGAAGCAGAACTCTGCCTGCAAAATATAGTGGTGCGAGGCATCCTATGCACGCCGTAAATCCCTGACTCTTCTGATGTGGTTTGCAAATCATATGGATGTTTTTGTTAGCACCAGGCTACACAAACTCAACCTCTAAAGGCTAGATGTATGTATAACACGGGTTCCTTTAACGCAACTTACCTTGCTAGAAAGGGATTTCAATGGCACTTAGTCTAGGACTAGTAATGTTTTGGGGGAATGGAAACTGGCAGAAATGTTGGTTCATGAGGGAAAAGAATACTTATCAGTCTAATCCCTTCATTCCGCACCTGTGTTTCTTGTCCTAGATATATTGTGCTACAAAAATCTTCTCCTGCCACATGACAGGGAAAAAACTCAGTTTTTTCCAGCAGTTGCCTAGCCTACTGCTGTGTCTGAAGGGATGAACACAGTCAGGGTCAGCATGTAGGATGGAAGTGAGGAGTCCGAAAGGGGACTGTGGAGAGGCGGCAGTGAGGCCGGGAAAGCGTGGGTGCTAGGTGACTTATGATGAAAGGGAGGCGAGCAGACCCCTCAGGGACGCGTTGAGCTGGGAGTCAAACCTTTCTAGGAAGGGTGTTTCCTATGCGTAGAAGGACGTCCTGCCTTTGTCCCAGTTGGTCTCTCTCCGGGTTGCAGGGGAAGTACAAGTGGCTGGATCCTAACCCCTGGCGGGTGGAGAGGAGAGGCGTGGAGTCTGGGGCTGGAGCTCGCAGTTCTGTTGGAGGGGCTCCGTCTGAGGGGGAGGCGGCAGGAGCGGCTCAGTGGCTGCCAGCTGCCTGGAAATTCTGAGCTCAGTCTCAGGCTGCTCAGACCACAGCAAGCTCCACCCTGGGGCCTCCGCAGGGATAGCAGCATGCGTGTCCTCTGGCCTAGTCTCAGCCGCTCTTCCTTTGCCTAAATTTGGGAAAGAATCCAAGTATGAAGCCCTGTAGAGCTAGGATCACCCCTCCTCCCCCCATTTTCATGTGTTCTTTTCCCGGCCTCCAGGGCATGGCTTAGCTTATCCTTTCTAATCCATTGGTTCGAAGAAGCCCCACTAAAGAAGTCAGTGAGAGGTCGCCAAGGAGCGAAACACATACATCAACCATCCCACAAGCTTTAGGGATGAGAAGAGTGGCAGGAAAAACGCTTCTTTGGGATATTGGTCTTAAAGTCAGTCCCTGCTAAGTGGTTTCAGTTAAATCTTGTAACTTTGTTCGTGTTATCTGTTCTCTCTTTAATATTTTCACCCTCCTGGAGTGGAGTGGAGAGAATTTTTCTAGTGGAACACTGCTCATATAATCCCTGACTTGTGACACTCCACTCTGCTGCCAACGTATGCTCTTTCAACATGTTGAAAACATGACTGTCATACAAATATAGGTGAACACATGCCAAAGATTTATTCCACTCATTGGTGAGGGAACCAGCAGGAAGGTAAAATGAGTTCAAAAAGCATTTGAGGGACTGAGTATTTATAGGTACTGAAAAGAGAATGTTGAAATAAGATTGCTGGGTTACATACAAAACTGGTTCATATTCCAAAGAACAATAAAACAGTAACCTTTGGGATTTTCTTTTCTACTGGACAGAAATTATTTGCATTTCTACTGGATAAAAATCAACGGGTTAGTATATATCTTCACTAAGCCTGGGCCCTAATCAGTAGTAAATAGTAAATGAAACAACTCGCTAGATAATAAAACATACCTTGAGTGGGCATTTTATTTTATTTATTTATTTATTTTAAAATATATATTTTTATTGATTTCAGAGAGGAAGGGAGAGGGAGAGAGAGATAGAAACATCAGTGATGAGAGAGAATCATTGATCGGCTGCTTCCTACACGACCCTCCACTGGAAAGTGAGCCCACAAAACTGGGCATGTGCCCTGATTGGGAATCAAACCTGTGGTTTCCTGGTTCATAGGTTGATGCTCAGCCACTGAGCCATGCCGGCTGGGCTTGAGTGGGCCTTTTAGACAATATTCCAGAATGATGTTGAAAGGATATGCAATCATCGTTTTGCCTTGTCATCAAGTTTTGGATAATTTTCCTTCTTTTTTGTGTGTGTGTTTTGTTAATCCTCACCTGAGGATATTTTTCTAATGATTTTTAGAAAGAGTGGAAGGGAGAGAGAGAGACAGAGATAGAGAAACATCAATGTGAGAGAGAGACATCGATTGGTTGCCTTTGCACATACCCCGACCAGGGCTGGGGAATGAGCCTGCAACCAAGGTACATGCCCTTGACCAGAATCAAACCCAGGGACCCTTCAGTCCATAAACCGATGCTCTTTCCACTGAGCCAAACCGGCTAGGGCTGGATAATTTTCTTACCTGGTTGTGTGCCCACTCCCCTCCTAACACACTCAAATCTTGACGATGAGAAATAGAAGTTTTAGGATACAGTAAAGCAGGAGAGCCATTTGCAGTAGATTAAAGCTGAGGTCACTCAAATATAATAACAGTGATAACAGTTAAGAGTGTTTACATGTTTACCACGTGGTAGACACTCGTGCTGTATATTTATGAACTCATTTCCTGTTCCCAGCAACCCTATTCCTGTCTTACAGATGGTGAGACTGAGGCACGGAAAGGTTAAATGACTTGTCCAAGATCACACATAGCTACAAAGAGGCAGAACCAGGATTTGAACACAAGAAATTTGGTTCAGGTTGACCTTCAATCAGTAGAGGGATAGGGAACTGGGTGTCAGAGAAGATAAATGTCTATAGGTTTTTCATAGGAGGAATGGTGTTTGTCCAAAAGAAGATAAGTAACGTCAAGGGCTGCTTTTAGTCCTTCAGGACTTCCTGCCTGAGCGCTGTCTGCACATTCTGCGATGTGCATGCCAAGCTTCTCTCCTGAAAAGACACGAATCGCTTTCTAACTAGTGTCTGAATCTCAGCTGGAGAAGAAGAGAGAGGCGTGTTGGACTACAGTTGCCTTATTTCTTGTGGGGAGCTTTGGGAATTAGGTTTACATGAGCTGAGCCAAACCGGTCAGGGCGATAAGTCTAACATTTTAAATTCATCTTCTCTTTGCCTGTTATTAAGGTTTGGGTGGGATCAGTGTCGTAGTGGGAGTGGAGAAAGGACCTGGGTTCATCCAGATGCCTCATTCTCTGTCCTTTCCTACACACCTGCCCCCAGATGATCACTTTGCGTTTTCTTCTCCCTTAGATATGGCAAGATTGTCTCCACTAAGGCCATATTGGACAAGACCACAAACAAATGCAAAGGTGAGAAAAGAGCTGTCCTGGTCATGGAGAGCAGCTGTGCGTGAGCCCATCCCTTGTCCCTGCCCTTTACTGCTGAAGGTCCCGAGTACCCAAGGCCAGAGAGAAATCTCAGAGGTTTTCAGACTTAAAAGACCAGCAGAGCCCTAGCCAGGTAGCTCAGCTGGTTAGAGCATCATCCTGATACGCCCAGGTTGCCAGTTTGATTCCCGGTCAGGGCACATGCAAAGGTTAACCAATGAATGCATAAATGAGTGGAACAACAAACCGATATTCCTTCCTCTCTTCCCACTTTCTCTCTAAAAATCAATCAATAAAAATGTTTTAAGACTAGCAGATATTTAGGTTCTTTGGTGACCAGATAGAGCTGCAAATGCTATTTTGGGGACCTAAGGCTTGAAGTCTGCACGAAAGAGTCTTGGAGCCCCTTGGGCTTCCTTTGAACCGCATGCTCCCCTGGACTGGATGGTGTATATGGGCAGGTGAGATTATTTCTCTTTAGCAAAGCACTGTAAAGGCTTTTTGGTGGTAGTAGGTGGATGACTTGGTAGGTATTATTTTGTGAGGATTAACAGTTTTGTTGGGTTTTGAGCAGTTTTAGGTGGAGATGTAAGAATTGTAGGAGAGGAAAAGTATGTAGGTTGAAGTGGAGAATGGCTTCTTCCAGCAGGTAGCTGGTTATCTGCCATGAAGAGGCTGTACTCCCACCTGGCCAGTGTGGCTCTGTGGTTGAGCATCGGCCTATGAACCAGGAGGTCACAGTTCGATTCCCAGTCAGGGCACATGCCTGGGCTGTGGGCTCGATCCCCAGTAGGGGCATGCAGGAGGCAGCCAATCAATGATTTGCTCTCATCATTGATGTTTCTCTCTCTCCCTTTCCCTTTCTCTCTGAAGTAAATAAAACTATATATTTTTAAAAAGAGGCTGTATTCCCTTGCCTAGCATTCTGGGGTGTGGCTAGAAAAGAGGAAGGGTTGTTTTTTTAAGAAGTCAGAGTGGGGGTGCTGTAGATTATGAGAAGAGCCTCCTTCCTGAAGCCTCATATCTGTTGAGGGAGGGAGGAAGGCAAGGACACCACAAGGACCTTATTGCCCTGGGCACGCTTAGCTTTAAAGTAACTGAAATTGCCCGGCAACGTGTGGCTCCGTGGTTGAGTGTCAACCCTTGAACCAAGAGGTCATGGATTCCATTCCCAGTCAGGGCACATGCCCGGGTTGGGGGCTCCATCCCCAGTAAGGGGTGTGCAGGAGGCAGCTGATCATGATGACGATTCTCTCTCATCATTGATATTTCTCTCTCTTCCTTCCTCTCTGAAATCAATACAGACATATTCTTTAAAAAATAGACCAAACCTCACGGGGTTTGAGAAACAGGTGGATAATCACCTGAAACCTCCCTCCCCCTTGTATTACATGGATCACAGCCCTCCTCTTCTCCCGAAAAGCCTGGGCCTCCTTCCCCGTCTCCCCCCACCGCCCAGTGATGCTGTTTCCATTCCAGGCTATGGCTTTGTGGACTTCGACAGTCCTTCGGCCGCACAGAAGGCCGTAACAGCACTGAAAGCCAGCGGCGTCCAGGCACAGATGGCAAAGGTAAGGGCGCTGCCCAGGTCTTTCCCTCCGAGGGGTTGTGGTGAGCAACAAGGTCCAGTTCCAAGGTTCCAGGGGGCTCGAGAGCCACGATGCTGACGGGCAAAGGCCGCCTGCAGTGGTTTTGTTACTATTATCTGGCCAAAGACAGCCTGGGCCTGGGACCCTTTTAGCACCGCTTGGCTGCTGGAGGAAGGCGATGTGCAGGTCGCTCTGTCCAGGACGGTCAGCAGGCAGGAGGGTGCGGAGGCCTGCTCCCTTCCTCCCGCCCTTTCCCCATCCCCACCGGTTCCGCGCTTCCCTACCACACAGCCTGTGGGAGTTGTGCAACATTCTCTGGGAAGCCAGTTGTGCATCTCAGCAGTTCAGAACAATGCGTTCCACCTCCCAGCACTGTTCCCTGGGGTGGGGCGGTTCTGTGGTGGGGCGTGGGGGGAGGGACATCCCGGCGGGAAGCAGACGGTCCCTCCTCACATCTGCCTGGAGCTTTTCTCTCCGTCGGGACTCCCAGGAATCCAGAGCCTTTCCCTCCCGCGTTCTCTCCGGTGGCACTGCCCTCTCGCCTGTCTGAAGTCGTTGTGAATTCTGTGGCGCTGATGAGGCAGGGCAGCCAGCCACCTTCTGCTATAATTAAAGAAAATGGGAGCCCTGAAGGGAAGGGCAGAAGAGGGATTAAGGCTGCTTGTGACCCACAGCCTAGAGCAGAGTGGCTGCTGAAATTCTCAACAATCCAGCTGTGGGACGCGGTAGCCACTGTATACGTTTTGCCCGCTGGGAGGGCTCCCCACCTCCTCCTCCTGTAGAAAAGCCTGGCAGCGGAGTGGAGGGCTCTGCAGAGCTCCTGTGACCAGAGCTTTCAGGGCTCCTGGGGACCAGTGAGCTATGCATGTGGCTCTCGTGCAGCCCCAGCACATTGCCTTCCCGTCCTCCTCCTCCCCTCTCTCCCCTCTTCCTGCTTTCCCTCCGTCAGGGAGTGAGCAGGCATTCCTACTCGGAGGAGTCTGCTGTGGCCGGAAGGGGGGGTGCGGGGAGAGGGGGGGGGGATTACTCAAAACAATCCAGCCAGCGAACAGGCGGTCCAAGAGAATCCTGCCTCTGGGACGGCTGCTGGGGGAGGGGGAGTGCTGCTCTGCCTAGTTCTTAAAGGGACAGCCAAGTCTTTATCAATGACTCGTATTATGGGCTAGTACAGTACTAATGATATTAAACCTGCTTTCTGTTTTTTTTGGGGGGTGGGGCGGTCTGGGCTCAATGTACAATCCACGGTAGTAGGGCTAGATGTTTGCTACAAATAGTTAAGATCCTCTTTGTTTATGTGGGACCCTTCCTGTTATCTTTTTTTCTGAGATATTATGTTGTGGATGAAGGCTAAGATGTGAGCTTCATTTTCTCTCTTTTATTTCCATAGCAACAGGAGCAGGACCCTACAAATTTATACATATCAAACCTCCCGCTGTCAATGGATGAGCAAGAACTGGAGGGAATGCTGAAGCCCTTTGGCCAAGTTATCTCCACTCGAATCCTTCGAGACACCAGTGGGACCAGCAGAGGGGTTGGCTTTGCAAGGTGAGGGATGCCGAGAATGGGACATGATGTCGTTAATGAAGAATGTCACAAAATCTGTGCCCCCCTTTCCCACCAGGGACCAAGCAGTTGGCCAAAAGTACTTGATAGTGTTACCGGGAAAGCCCCGATTGGGCTCCGGCTGCCTGCCCTGCCTGTCACTGTGTCCAATAAGGAAGGCAAGGGTGAATCATATGGGGCGTTTATTGAAGAGGCGAGCCAACCCAGAAGACAGCATGCTTACAAGCATCAAATCCTGCCTTCCAGCAGGGGCAGGGGACAGGATTGTAGAGGGGAAGGGGCCGGGGTGAGGCCAGGAGTGGACTCAGCTATTATCCTTTAGTCATCAGGCGATGAGATGATGTTGATGAGGTGATGTTTTGACTCCTGGTGAGTTGGCCTGACCATGCTTATCGGTTCTGCTTGCTGGATTCACAGCTGAGTCACCTCCTCGATCGCTTGGCACAGGCCTTGAAAAGGAAACTTAAGAAAAACTTAACCCCCTATTCGCATGTAAGAAATGTAACCCCCTATTCACATAAGTATATGTGTTCTAAGATTTAAAATAATATGATTATTTTTCAGATTAATTCAGGTGCTCTCTCTATCAGATAAGAGGACGTCCCTATCAATAGTAAATCAGGTTTATTTCATTGTAGGTCACAATACTAAAAAGTTCACGTGCCCCAAATCCTTGTCCTTTCCCCACTACCTTCTGCTACTCTAGCCTTTGTTCCTTTGATCCAGTCCCAACCAGAATAAAATAATTCTGTACCTTCTTATAGATTTAATGTCACTGGTACTGTACAAGCCCATAAAGCAAGTGTTCTGTATCTTCCTATTGTCTCATTTAATCATTACTACAACCCTGTGAAATATTAACTCTCCATGTAATAGATAAGGAAACCAAAGTTCCCGATACGAAGTGACTTGTCCCAGGTGTCACAGGAGTGGGTGGCAGAAACAGAGCCGTAATACTTCTGGCTTCCAGGTCAGTCAGGATGAAGTGGAAGATCTGGTCTACCTTTCAGATCTGTTGAGAGACTTAGATTCTGGAACCAACTCTGCCACTAACTGTCCATGTGATAGCAGACCTTTATGAGTCTTGGTCGACTCTGGAGATTGATTTATTATTATTTTTAAAATATATATTTTTATTGATTTCAGAGAGGAAGGAAGAGGGAGAGAGAGATAGAACATCAATGATGAGAGAGAATCATTGATTGGCTGCCTCCTGCACGGCCCCCACTGGGGATGGAGGCCGCAACCCGGGTGTGTGCCCTGACCAGGAATCGAACCATGATCTCCTGGTTCCTAGGTCAACGCTCAACCACTGAGCCTCGCCAGCTGGGCTGTGGAGGTTGATTTAGAAGAGTGATTTTCTTGTGGTGTCCCTCGTGCTGCAGAGCTCTAGTGTACCCTCCTCTGTGCTTAGGTGTCATTGTTGTTGTAGGGCATCAGCTTCCCCTGTCCTACTTAAGAAATGGTTCTACTTTTCTTCTTCTTCTTCTTCTTTTAATTGATATCAGAGAGGAAGGGAGAGGGAGAGATAGAAACATCAATGATGAGAGAGACTCATTGATCAGCTGCCTCCTGCACGCCCCCTACTGGGAATCAAGCCCACAACCAGGGCATGTGCCCTTGACCAGAATCCAAACCCAGGACCCTTCAATCCCTTCAGTCCGCAGGCTGACGCTCTATCCCCTGAGCCAAACCAGCTAGGTTCTGCTTTTATTTATCTTAAGATTTTGTTTGAAAGGAGATTCTGTTGTGTTTGTTTTTTCTTTAAGTTTGAAAACTACTGGACTAAGGTCCCTTTTTGTTTTATATCTTGTCTGGCCCAAGAACATTCCGTTACTCTGGAGTGTTTCAAACCGCGGGAACTAGGAATAGGGCTTCTCTAGCCAACTCACTCTTTTTCTTTCAAATATTTTACTGATTTTTTACAGAGAGGAAGGGAGAGGGATAGAGAGTTAGAAACATCGATGAGAGAGAAACATCGATCAGCTGCCTCCTGCACACCCCCTACTGGGGATGTGCCCGAAACCAAGGTACATGCCCTTGACCAGAATCGAACCTGGGACCCTTCAGTTCGCAGGCCAACGCTCTATCCACTGAGCCAAACCAGTTAGGGCTAGCCAACTCACTCTTGATAGTACCACCTACTGGCAATCCCAGTATAACTAAAAGAGTTCTGAGGCTTGTGGTCATCAAACATTTTTGTTCCCATACTCTTTGAAAGCGGAGGTTCCCAACCCATTTCAGATCATGGCACCACAGTTGTCTTATTAATTTTTTTCCCAAGACCAACCCCCCACGCACACACTTAACAGTTCAATTTACTAAGTAATTAAATGGTATAAACAACTCAAAAAGTATTCATAGCTCTCCTGGCTGATGTGGCTCAGTGATTGAGCATCAACCTATGAGCCAGGAGGTTTGAGTTCGATTCCTGGTCAGGGCACATGCCTGGGTTGCAGGCTCGATCGCTGGTGTGGGGCATGCCGGAGGCAGCTGGTCGATGATTCCCATCATTGATGATGTTTCTAGCTCTCTCTCTCTCTTTGAAATCAATAAAAATGTATATTTTTAAAAATTGTTCATATCTTAGTAATTTTATAGCTACTTGAGAAAATACGTTGAAAGAGGAAATATATTGCAACGTTAAATAACTATACTTGCTAATGGGATGTGTACCTGTTGGAAACTGAACAACTTGTCAAACCTTGGAATCAGATCGGACACTATACTCTCATTTCCTGTTATACATTGATTTTCTTATGGTGCTTGCTTTTGTCATAGCAACTGTTGAAAAACCAGCTTTGCAAAAATACGTTATCAAAAGGATTGTAGGGTGATCTGTTGTTGCAATGGTGAACTATTTAGAGTTAGTTGCTCACACAGTATCCAACAGATGTTGCTGTATTTTCTTCAGAAAATTAAAATATTCCTTGCTGTGGATCTGTGAGCACACCACAACGACCCAGGGTGTCTCAGAGCCCAGTTTGGGAACTGTGGCTTTAAAGACTTGAAAAACTATGAAATCTCTTGCATTAATAACTACATTAATAACTACAAATTTTCTTGAAACATTTAGGTTCTTGCTAAGTATGATTTCCAGCAAATTATAAACATTGATATTTTAAATCATACTGTTATATAATTTTTCAGTATATCCAATGAGATCTAAATGTCATAGCAATTTGATACACAAAATCATCCATTTTGAAAATACATAGGGCATTTCTTTTTTGTTATAAGTCTTACATCTTTCTTATAACATTCCATTTTTTTCTTCTTGATCTTATATTCTTATTCCATTTGTATTGTATTCTAGTGTAAAACATTTTTTTAGTTGAAAGTCTTTTTATGGCCCATTCTGTCACACTTCTCTGCAATAAAAACATGTATATAAATTAAAATTTTTTTCAGTGGCCCTGAGGCTATATATGTATTAGCCCATAAGAAAATTCTCTTTTTCAAATATATCTTTTATTGATTTCAGAGAGGAAGAGATAGAAACATCAATGATGAGAGAGAATCACTGATTGGCTGCCTCCTGCACACTCCCTACTGGGGATTGAGCCCGCAACCCAGGCATGTGCCCTTGACTGGAATCGAACCCAGGACCCTTCAGTCTGGAGGCCGACGCTCTATTCACTGAGCCAAACTGACTAGGATGAAAATTCTTTTTATAATGTTTAGTTCACAGTTGCCCCAAACAACATAAGTATATTTAAATGTTGACACAAAATTATTCTATGGAAAGTAAATTTTATTGGAAATGCTTCTCCTATGCAATGAAAAAGTTTTATTTTGTTTAGATTTTTCTAATTAGGTCATGCAGCCATCAGTGAATACTGTTTACTGCTGTGACAAGACAGGGTTTAATATCAATTCTGTTCCTGTGTTTTGTTTTCACGGTGAGAAACTTTGTTCATACAAATAAGTAAATGGGAATGGAAAGAGATTTTTGTGTGTTTTTTAAAGATTTAAAAATTGATTTTTTAGAGAAGAAGAGAGAGGGAGAGAGAAACATCAATGTGAGATCAAATCATCCATTGACTGCCTCCTGCATGCCCCCTATCTGGGATCGAGCCCATTACCAGGATATATGCCCTGACAGGGAATCAAACCGGCAGTCTTGTAGTGCATGGGACAACACCCAAACAGCTGAGCCACACCAGCCAGGGCGGGGATGGGAAGAGTTTTGTTAAAATAGGAGTTCTTTAATTCCTTTTGAATCATTTGCCAAGAACCAGGGTAATCTATCATCAAAATTGATTTTTTTTTTAAATGTGTCAATTGACAATTTGCAGAGTCCTCCAGCTTATGTTGGAAGGAAGAATTGAGAGCATCTGACTTACAAAAAGATGTGTAACTCAGCTCCCACTGCCTTGTTTTGAGTTTTGGGAGAGTGTGAAGTAAATTGAGAGGAGTGACTGTGAGAGGGGACTTGAGCTTTGAAAGAGTTTATGAGAATGTTGAGGTTCTGAAAGTGATTCTCTTGAAACTCTCTCTGCCTGCTCACCCTTTTTCTATCACTATGGCCCTAACCCTGTCTATTACTGTTTCCTCCTGCAGACTCATGAAAACTTAAGCCTAAGGAATAGGAGTAACCCAGCTGAAGACTTCTGCTCTAGGATACCTAACGTGGTTTTCTCTAAAACATTCCATTTGAGGCCTTTATAGTGACCACCGTCATCGGAATGGTTTATACTTTTGGTGGCTACTGGCATGGAAAATATAGTGAGACTTTAAATATGGAAAGAGGGCAAGATACTGTACCTTGTATTATACGGGCCCTTATGATTTTTAGAACACATTTATATAGATTATCTTATTTGATCTATACAGTCTTGTGTAGTAGGGTAGATGGATCATTTCTCTAAAGCGGAAATGAAGAATGGGTCCAAAGGGCTTTTGTGCATGTCCTAACTCATAGCTTTGGGAGATGAACAGGAGCTGGAGTCTAGATTTTCTGTCCTCTTTCCCCAACAAGATACTTTAACTCAGTATTCCCACATTGTTTTTTCTATCACTATGGGCCCTAACCCTGTCTTATTACTGTTTCCTCCTACAGACTCATGAAATCTTAATGAATAGCTCATTGGACCTTGATAAGTAACCAGAAGCAAAAATAAATATTGGAAAATTCTTAGCTTGTGTAGGTTTATTAGAGTGAGGAACAATTTCCATTAGGGGTTTTGTAATAAAAAGTAATAGTAACAGCCTCTGTTTACTGTATTCTTATTTATGAGCCAGACACAATCATAGGCCCATCCATCAGTATCTTCTTTGGAACATGTATTCATAGACCTCCATGACTCCTTTCAGGGCTCCTACGGGAGCCAGTTGAGAGAACCTTCATTAGGAGCTGGGTTGCCTCTTCTTGATGTCTTGAATTTGTGTGGGGAAAACCTGTGTTTTATAGTCACAACTGTTAGAGCATCTTGGGGCTGGGAACTTGGGGCATTCTTGTTGAATGTAGGGAGCACACAGATCCTGGAGAAGCTACAGCCTAACCCCTCTTGTGCTCCTCAGGATGGAATCCACAGAGAAGTGTGAAGCCATCATCACCCACTTTAATGGAAAATATATTAAGACACCCCCCGGAGTACCAGGTGAGGCATCTGGGAATCCGGCTGAAAGGGCCACAGGCTGTTACTTCCAGTGAGGATGTGGAGGAGTTTTGCATGAGTGTGAGCGAGGCTAAGTGAGGTGGGACTCTGTTACCTGTCTGCTTTCTCTCTTGGTAGCTCCATCAGATCCGTTGCTTTGCAAATTTGCTGACGGTGGTCCAAAGAAACGACAGAACCAAGGAAAATTTGTGCCAAATGGACGGGCCTGGCCAAGGAATGGAGACATGGTAAGAGGACCTCTGAGGCTATTAAAACAGAATGGAAATGACCATGGCCTGATGTCTGTGAGCTTAGATGGCAAGCTTGAGAGCTACAGTTTGTAACGGAGAGAAGCTGGCTACTAGCATGCTCTTCAGTGTGGGTCTTGAGTGGGATTTTGCAGCTTGTACAACCAGGAAAACTCTGGAACAGCTTGTCCAGACTTCACTTAATTTTTTATTTTTATCATTTTTAGAGAGAGAGGAATGGAGAGAGATAGAGAGATAGAAACATTGATGAGAGAGGAACATTATCGATTGGCTGCCTCCTGCATGTCCCCTACTGGGGATCAAGCCTGAAACCTGGGCATGTTCCCTGACTGGGAATCAAACCGGTGACCTCTTGGTTCCTGGGTTGATGCTTAACCGCTGACCCACGTGGGCTGGGCTGTCCAGACTTCACTTTACTCATTCCCACCCTTGACATTCTGGCCTTGCTCCTGTTCTCATCCAAGGGCTTACAATATGACTGCTGTGTTCTTTCTTTATAGGGTGGTATGGCCTTGACCTATGACCCCTCCACAGCTCTTCAGAATGGGTAAGGGTGTTTTATATATTCAGGCCAACTCAAAATGACAACCGCCTGTGTCCAAGATGTTTCATCTTGAGTTTTGAACAGCACTTACTGGGAAGTGGCCGTGTCTCTCAGGGGAGGGCGCCTTTCTTCCTGTGACTCCTGACTGACAGGTTCCTTCCTGCAGGTTTTACCCAGGTCCTTACAGCATCACTCCCAACAGGATGCTCACGCAGTCTGCACTCTCCCCCTATCTCCCATCTCCCGTGTCTTCGTACCAGGTATGTTCATGCCCAAAAGGTGCAGTACTTTCCCTATCACTGTGTTATAGGCAGAGGAATATAATGCTGGAAACTATTTGTTGTTTTGTTTTTTTCCTTTGTACCTGTTGCCACAAATCACACTACATATATGTAGACTGGTGTGAAAGCATCCTCTTACTCTCTGTCTACTACCCCACAGGTAAATCCATGTTAATTTCCTACTATTTTCTATGTTTTTCTTCATGGGCATATATACATATGTATATGGTTTTTTGGAAGTCATTGTTTATTTTATTTATAAAGAAGTTGACTATATTACATATATTTTTCTTTTCTTTTTTTTCTTTTTTTAAAATATTTTATTGATTTTTCACAGAG